GAATGCGCTGAGAAAAGACCGGGAGGCGGGGTGTGTGAGAGTTCAATATTTAACTACGGGACTGATACACCCGCCTGTTTCTTTTGTGTTTCTACCTGTTGTTTGAGAACTCTTCGAGCTTGCGGCTGGCGAGGTCCATTAATACGTCGACCTCTGCTGAGGGCCGCTTGAAGTTTTCAATGCTGAACGCATAGACTGTTACGACTTTGACGCCCAGTCGTAAACACCATTCAAGAGTCTGAAGAAAACAAAAGACATGAGAATGTTAAGAAGGATTTGGACCAGATATACTTTCTCAGAGGAAAGCCGGGCCCCCCAAAAAAAACGAAACAAAAGCGAACTCCGCCCCTTGCGCTCAGCTATCAAAGTATGTCAAGTCGGCATATTTCAGCGCGATTATATTTACCTCCTCGAGCTTCTTACTCCCCATCGCATGCCCAACGCCCGTCTGCACGCCAGCTTTGCGGGCATAGCGCCGGTTTCCGTCCATGATAAAGCCGACATGCCGCGGAATGGGGCCGGCGCGGAGCACGTCGATTGCAGCGGACTGGAGGTAGTTTTTGGCGCGGGAGTAGAGGGACGAGGAGGGGGAGGTTTGTTCTAAAGGAATATCCGTTGGCCGTGGTGGTGGCGGTGGTGGTGGTTGGGCGAGACCCATTGTGTCGACGACGGTGGAAAGGCGACAAGGTCTGGTCGGTCATGTCTTTGCGCTGGATCGCCAACCACGCACGACAGGTAAAAATTTCTGCCGGAACAACCTGTTCTATCTACTTTTCCTGTCATTTTCGACACCAGCGAAATACAAGAAACGTTGAGGCCAAGATGTTATTCAAAAGTCGTCTATACAACTGAGGGCTTATCAGAGAATACCTATAGAGAGATGCCCATGGGCGGCCCCGGCTTTGTACGGGCGTAGCCGTATTGCCACCCCATCTTACCTTGACCTACCTTGCCCGAGGTGCTCGCCCATATGCCTGAAGTCCAGTCCGCCCAACCTCTACCGCGAACGTTTTTTTCGCGGTGAAAACATGGCGATTTTGCAAAATAGCGGTGAATTGTAAATACAATCAAGTATAATTAAAAATGGTGAACTCGGAAGGCAAAGAGGTCGGGCGCGTGATTGTGCGCGTGCTGTTTAAATATCCTCGTGCATTCGCAAAACCGTCGTGACGCCAGTGTGGTCTTGAAAAAACAAACGGCGATTAGCGTTAAGAAGAAATAAGTGTCAACCGTCTTTACATCTTTCCCCTTCCTTCTCCCCTCTCTTGCGCTTACCAGAAAGCTGTTTAAAAGCCTGTCCCTCCACCTTAAACGGCTCTAAACCCGTCTCATTAACACTCAACCTCAGCTTTGTCCGCTTCAACTCGGGATTCTCCGGCGTGTCCTTATGCCACTGCAAAATGTAATCAAGGCGCTTTCCAGGCACTTCGCGGTCATCGCCCTCGTCGCCTATTGCCGACGCCCATGGGTGCCATGTGGGCGTTTGCTGGCCCTCGGCTTCGCGCAGGACGTCCACGACGGTGCCGTTGTCTTGGCGGAGGGTTTTGATCATGCGGAGGTATTCGCCGGAATCTGTCTCGGGTTCCCATCCGAATGGCGCCCCAGGTACGTTGAAGTCTGCGGGAAGCGAAAGCGAACGCGATGAGCAAAAAAAAAAAAAAAA